TAAAAGGGTCTGCATGCAAAAGCGTCTGTGTGTGAAAGCCTCTTTGTGTAAAACGTCTGTGGGTAAAGCCTCTTTGTGTAAAACGTCTGTGTGTAAAAGCCTCTTTGTGTAAAACGTCTGTGTGTAAAAGTGTCTGTGTGTAAAAGCATCTGTGTGTAACAGTCTCTGCGTGTGAAAGTGTTTGTGTAAAAGTGTGTGTGTGTGTGCAAAAGCGTTTGTTGGTAAAAGCGTCTGTGTGTAAAAGTGTCTGTGTGTAAAAGTCTCTGCGTGTGAAGGTGTTTGTGTAAAATTCCGTGTGTAAAAGTCTCTGCGTGTGAAAGTGTTTTTGCAAAAAACGTCTGTGTGTAAAAGTGTCTGTGTGTAAAAGCGTCTGTGTGTAAAAGTCTCTGCGTGTGAAGGTGTTTGTGTAAAAGCTTCTGTGTGTAAAAGTCTCTGTGTGTAAAAGTGTCTGTGTGTAAAAGCGTTTGTGTGTAAAAGTCTCTGTGTGTAAAAGTGTTTGTGTGTAAAAGCGTCTGTGTGTAAAAGTGTCTGTGTGTAAAAGTGTCTGTGTGTAAAGGCGTCTGTGTGTAAAAGTCTCTGCGTGTGAAGGTGTTTGTGTAAAAGCATCTGTCTGTAAAAGGGTCTATGTGTAAAAACTTTTTTGTTTAACATTCTGCAGTTAAGGCCTTTTACAGTTATAAGATGTTATAAGTAGGTTATAATTATAGCTATTTATAAGTGCATAGTGAGTTATAACTGTAGTTAGCCTACTTAACGCAGTATTACAACTGTTCTGTAACTTCTTTAGTTGAACTTAGAAGTCCAGTTAAAACAGTTATAGCAGTTACAAAAACAGGTTTTAACAGTTATGATTAGGAGTAAAAGCAGTTGTAACAGTTACAAACATACAATTTTTGGTGAAATGATGTAGCTTGTTTCGTGTGCATGTGTTTTCTTCTGGGGTGTTTTTTTGTTGCGCTTCATTGGATTTGATTTGTTGCTTGATGTGCGCCATGAATTAGTTCTATCACGCTTGTTGTTGTTGTTGTTGTTGTTGCATGGATTGTCAACCGTCGCTTGGTTTGGGTCATGGATTGTGTATCATGGATTGCTGGGCGCATTGTTGCATGGATTGTGGTGTGTTGCTTGGTGTGCGTCATGGATTGTGATTTGCTGCTTGACGTATGTGATGGATTGTGTCATGGTTTCTTGGCTGCCGTGTTGTTGCATGGGTTATGATTTGTTGCTTGGTGTATGTCATGGATTGTGCATCATGGTTTCTAGCTGTGTTGTTGCATGGATTGCGTCTGAACTAAACCTAGTTAAATGCAGAAACTTTTCTGAACTTCTCTCTCTCCCAGTCTGAACTAAACCTAGTTAAGTTCAGAACAATTCTGAACTTATCTCCCTTCCAGTCTGAACTAAAGCTAGCTAAGTTCAGATTTTTTCTGAACTTATGTTTCCCCTAGTCTGATTTAAACCTAGCGAAGTTCAGATAAACCTAGTTAAGTTCAGAAAAGAAATTCTGAACTTATCTCTCCCCCAGTCTGAACTAAAGATAGTTAAGTTCAAAAAATGTTCTGAACTTATCTCTCCCCCAGTCTGAACTAAACCTAGTTAAGTTCAGATTCTTTTTCTGAACTTATCTCTCTCCCAGTCTGAACTGAAGCTAATTAAGTTCAGAATATGTTCTGAACTTATCTTTCCCCCCAGTCTGAACTAAACCTAGTTAAATTCAGAGAACTTATCTCTCCCCCAGTCTGAGCTAAACCTAGTTAAGCTCAGACAGTTCAACTCTCTTCCATACTAAACCAAGCCTACTTAAGTTCAGGAAAGAACCTGAACCTATCTACCTCGCAACCTAAACTAAACCAAATACAGTTTTGATTTTTCTGAACGTATGTATCTTTCAGCCTAAGCTAAATCTTGCTAAATTTGAACTTGTTTGGGTTTATCCCTCTTCCAACCTGAACTAAACCTTGCTATTGACCAAAAATACCTTTAGTTATTTTGGTTTTTGTTTACACTAAATCTGGTTTTGTTTTGTGTAAATAGAATGCCTGAACCCAAGCAAAACTTATTATTTGTTTTATTATTTATTTTTCCATCCTTTAGTAGCTCTGTCGCTGCCAGAAGACAACAATCCGTGCAACAAAACCCACAACAACGACTCAAGAAACCATGATGAACAGTCCATGATGCACATCGGGAAGAGAGATAAATACAGATTTTTTTCTGAACTTAACTAGCTTTAGTTCAGACTGAGAGAGAGATAAGTTCGGAAACTTTCAGGGACTGAACTAGGTTTAGTTCAGACTGGGAGACAGATAAGTTCAGAAAAAAATGCGTTTAACTAGGTTTAGTTCAGACTGGGGGAGAGGTAAGTTAAACAAAAACATGAACTTAACTAGCTTTAGTTCAGACAGAGAGAGAGAGAGAAGTTCAGAAAAACAATCTGAACTTAACTAGGTTTAGTTTTGGCTGAAAGATAGTTTGTTTTTTTTTAATAAGTTTAAATAGATTGAATCAATCATATTTTCCTGAACCATATGATTCTTAAACTTCATAGAATTTAGTAAAGCAAAGATAAACTGTTATTATGTGTTTCTATTTTTTACTTTTCGAAGATAATATTAAGCAACACCAAAATTTGCATGTTTTTTAAGTTCGTAGCAGTTTCTTTCAAAAAATGAAAATATAAGATTAACTAAACCGAATCTGAAACAAAGTTATCATATACTTCTTAATATCATCCCAGTATCGGCTACGGTTATTTTATTTTATTATATTCCTTGGATTAACTGGGGTCCACTACCATTTCTGAAGGGTACCCAACCAATTGCTGGATCAAAATGGAAAAGGTATCAACCACGCTCTTGTTTTTTCTAGGGTGGTTCCCCCATATACCTTTGGTATAAAGCCACCAATGTTATCCCTGATGATCATTATTTTTTCAAGTACTAAATTTCCCCCATTTTTTCTACGTCTACATCATATATCCTTTAAACGCAATGTCCAACAGCTAATTTGCCGAAGTCAGGGCGCAGAAATCAGCACCCTGAGTTAGGAAAAAAAAATTGCCGATATCCTAGGTGCTTGGTGGGGTATTGCCTAAGTAAGGTCGCAAAAATCTGCACCTAGATTTAGGAAAAACAATGCCGATCTCAGGGTGCAGAAATTGGCATGTGGACTTAGGAAACAGCCCTGCTGCTATTATATTCTACCATGATTTTTGCCGCAAAGGATTCGGGGTCCTTGATTTTGAGATTTAGTTTTTTTTGTTGGCCGATCTTTTGGCTTGGGAGACCCCGTATCTATCGCAGCCACACATCCGTCGCATAACAATATTTGTTTTTATATTTTATCAAAGTACCCAAACCAAAAAAAACTATTTGAACTACGATCGAATGGTGATCGTTTGTTCTGACTGGCACTTCCACGAATAGGGGTAAATGGATGGAGACACTAATTATCAATCCCCATCTTGGCATGACTACCGAATGGCGGATAAGAATTAACAATATATTGAAACATCCAAGGGACACTAACCCAAGACGATCTTCCTTTGGGATCATTTTCGCTAGTATATACCAAGGCCACCTACCTTGATAGATAAGATAGATAAAGAAATAAATAGTGGAAAACATATATCACACAATCAGAGGTAGAACTAAATCACCAAGGACCCTAGAATCAAATTCCAAAGAACCCCTATCGGCTGCATATATATATATACCAGCAAAACCAAAATCGTAAGAATTCTTACAGCTGTCCCAAAATCGCATTTTTGTTTAAATTCTTGCAACTCTCCGGTTGTACCTGAAAATTCTCGCAACTGTAAGAAATTGTTGCAACTCTTACGTTTTGGGATTATAATGAGTTATTTCTTATTTTTTCATATGTGCATCATCCCTTCATGTTTCCCATCATCTTTTTGATCATCAATCATTTTTAGCGTCACCCAAGAGCTGGTGCCTTAGGGATGCCATGTACAAATCATATGTACGGTCAATTGTTGCTCGTGGTGAAACTCTTCTGGAAAACCTTGAAATCACTCCCACAAAACTCTCATCGATCTGGGTGGCGTCCACCAACGGTGACTCGCACCATTGGTGGGTCTCACTCCATTTCTTCAAAAATTTGAACGTATGGTATAACATATGAGGTTTGGCATGTAGTGGAAACCTCGGCTGAGACATTGCCAAAGAAATCTCAGCACAGCGATTCTCCGCACGAAGAAAAGTCAGCCCCCAATCGCCCACTTGACATGCTTCATCAGCACGCAGCCATGCACCAGAGCGGTACAACAAGCGAAAGAGGGCATTCATACTTCTCCTAATGCTTCAAACCCCAGTGAAAAAATGAAACTTGAAATTAATTTAGATTTAGTTATTTTATGTGATTTTGATTGGTATGGCTAACGCGTTAACTGGTGAAGCTAATTTGTTTAATTTCAAATAAATTATCTTTTAATGTTGCTGATAGATTAAATTGATTTGGGGTACTTCAAGCTGCTTTAAAGTATTGAAGAATGACTCAGGGTATTTCATTAAGGGTATGGGCACGCTAATTTAGAATTTAATTAATTTATTGCGTAGCAAACGAAATGAAAATAAGATGCGCCGTGCAGGAAAGATTCGTTGCCAAAGCGATCAAAGGCACCCTGCCATCAACCTGGCCCAGTTCAGATATGAGGTCATCATGTAGAAGTGTCTCGATCCATTCCTTCCATTGTTGTTTGAACAATTGAATTCCATGAAAATTATTGCAGTGAAAAATTCAAAGTAAATTAAAACCATTAAGATTGATGAACTTGAAAAATATGGGTAGCCAGGTTTCAAGCAACAGCGCAGTTGTAGCACCTTTCTGCCATGTACCCTCTGGCCAGTCGAGGCTGGACTTGAATCCCAGCGTGTCCCGGCTAATCTTCGTTAAGTATGGTCGCTCCTTAATTATTTTGGCCAAAATCAGTTTTCAACAACTAAACGCAACAAATTTTGAAATTATAGTTCTGCAGCATGTTAAAAAGAAAGGAAAGCATTCGATTCTACACCAAAGACAGCTTCTTTCTTCATCTTGCAAAATGTCAGCCAAAGGGAGGACATGGAAGCGAAGCGCGTCTCAACAGAGCCACCTGGGAACACTTCCGAAAATTGCTGTAGGACCACCAGAACTGATGCCACGAAATATCGGCCCGCTCCCAAATGAAAATTGTGGAAAAGGTCCGGTCGAAGGATCCAAGCTCTGAAATTTGGTTCAGCGGGGAGGTCCAAAATCCAAGGTGACATTGTTTCCCAAGGGCACAAGGCCTTAGACTGGAATCGATGGAAAAAAGTACGGTGATGAAACATCAAAAAGAACAAAGGACAAACCCAACACTTGTTCAAAAGAAATTGTGCTTAAACCTTTAAGCCCAGTAACAGCTGCACTGCACATCGTTCTCTCAAATCCAGGAGCATCACTTACATCGGTAAAGGGGAATCCGTCATATCCTGCCAAGCAAAGGTGACAGATACCTTCTGATTGCATAGCGGATTGCCCCCTCTTAGGTGCCCTTCTGAAGTGCCTTGTCAAATGACCGCATTCAATGAGGAATGGCCAGTCTCCCTTGATGCCAGTGACTACCAGTCTGAGTTTGCATGGGGCATCCGGCTTTCCAATTTCTACGCCATTCCTCATTGCACTCACCAGGTCGCCAGATACCAATGCCATGCCCTCATCCAAAGCTTCGGGATGGTCTGCATAGGTTTCACGGAGGGCTGCAAATGCAAGCCATCGACAAAGTTCCTTGGCAAATCACTAAATCACTGGAAAAATTGAAAACACAATGCAAGCCAAAAAGCAAAGCAACAAACAGCATTGTAAAACAAACATACAGTAAATAATGAGTGAAGGCACTGGAGGCCCAAGCCTGTATTTGACTCCGCAGGTCAAAGAATATAAAGTTAAAACCGTAAAGTAAATTAGAATATAATCTATGACATGTCCTTTAAATCAATGTACTATACCAATCGTCAAGTAGCATGTTCAGCCTTTGGCTGGCCATCTGCTTTTTGACAGGTTGCTCGATAGACTTGCTAGTTCCACGGCCAAGCACCGGCGACCAACTGAGCAGCATGATCGGAGATTTGCGCTTACCTGCAAGTAGAATTATGAATAGTACATCACATTCATTTATTCCTTTTAAGTTTTTTGGGGGTGACAACATATCTGCCGAAAAAAATCTTGCAGCTAAAATTCTTCGTCCCTCATCACCATGAAGCTTTATGGGCAATGCTGTTGCCAGCTGGCTTGGCGATAGAATGCCAAAGATCTCATGGCTGGGATATAATGCTCGAAACCTTGACCAATATGTCACAAGTGCTTGTTCTGAAGATGTCATATCCTTCTCCGGAAGAATCGAATCCAAGCAGTTCCACTGGTTCAGCATTGCGACCATATCCGTAGGTTTCAGCCATGGGTAACCTCCAGCATTTCTGCGTGCAAGTCAGCACATCTTAAAATTATTCAAAACAGGTTTGCTTCATGGGCTTAATATTATTGAGAATTAATATTTGCTGTCATGGCACGATCATTGTCACCAACCGTTCCGAAGCTTACAGGTATAGGTGCCCGAAGATTCACTTCATCCAAGGCTTTGAAGCATTCTCTAGCCTTAATTGATCCAAGCGAGAAAATTTTAAAAGCTACTTATATTAATTAAGTCATTCCTACAACTGGATTGAAAAAAATAAAAGCATGCAGCTCCAGGCACGGCATGGGATGCTCCTTTTGCTAATCTCACAAGAACAGGATCGTTTCTTTCAAAGCCTAATCGCCTATCGTCTTCCAAAATAGCCGCAGCATGTTCTGCAAGTTGAATGGCGGGTGCCTTTGCTGCGCTTGGTGGCAGAATAGGTGACAATCATTCATGCTGATTACAGAAGACTTCGGGTGAATTAGCTGGAAGGCTTCAGGGATAATTTAAGATTTAGGGCGAATTAAATCTTAAAAAAATCATGGCGGCTTCAGGGTTTTTGTTTTAATTATCATTAAATAAATAATTTCAGTAATTAATTATCATTCTCAGGGTTTATATGTTTTCAGAAACTAATTATGATAAATTGGGTTTAAGTTATAATCTGGCTGGAGTTTCAAATCTTAAATTTAGCAATTATGTTTAAGCATGCAACCTATCTTGATGTTCAGATAAATCTGCATTGTTAGGGCTTCATTGTCAGGGTGATGAGGGACTAGCAGAATGGAATTATTTTGTACCTTATCTAAAGACTTTGGAGCTTTCAGGAGAATGTCGAATTTAGTTTCGATCAGCCAATTAAATTGATAAGTCTGATAATTGAATTTGATAAATTCTATTTAAAACTACTCTAAAGGCGAGGCGCTCCTCGGGCAAGGCTTCTGGCAAGGCTGGAAGCAGTTCTGCTGGCACGCAGCTGGCGAGATCGCTTCAGAATGCGACCTGGCTTGTATACAATGCAGCGTTGCTTTAGGTTAAAAAAGGGGCATGTACTAGCAGCATAAATTTAGGTCACCATTTTTTTTTACTTAAGTGCATCCAGTGGACCCATAACTGCAGCAGACATTAAGGTCAGGCTCTTTTTTCTCACATGTGGCCAGATCTAAGTCTTCAAAGATCTACCAATCATGCGCACTCCCGCATATGATTTGCAGGTTGGCGCCATGAACCCCCATCACCCCTAAAGATTTCAAAGATACTTGGCTTTGATCATATTGATCATGGGGTAGAGTCTCAGCTCCTGCAGTCCCAAGGCACAACAAATTAGTAAAATTGCTGCAATATGACTCAATATGTTTGAACAGTACAGCTGGCTAGCTTTCTTCAGTTTCATGTAAATAAAAAACAACTTGCACTGCAGGGGTGAGTGCCTTTAGACCCCATGGCAACACTAATATGCACACGCCCGCTGTTTCAAGCAGGTAGGTGCCATGTAGGGGACAGTGTCGAATCAGGCTGCATTCTTGGGTGCAGCCTTCGCTTTACGCTTCGGCTTTGCCTTGCCTTCAGATCCAGGTTCTCCAGGTTCCCCTTCGTCACGTCGCCTTTTCTTCGACTCAGCCAAGAGCATTTTGTAGGTGTGCTCGGACGCCATGATTTTCACACACCTGAGATAATTCATCGAAAGATTTTCAAAACCATTGTTAAAACCTACATGGCACTAGATATAATGAATAACATACCAACATGAAAAATGTTAGTGAAAAAGCTCCGATGGTTCAGCCAAGGCACGGGGAACGAGCGGTCGCCTTCGCGTCGTTGATGCGCTGGAGGATCCTGGGGGGCAAGCAGGGGCAATTAATGATCCTTAACCGGTAATTATCACCATATGATATTCTTCAAATTATTGTTGTTGTAGCGACATTTGATGATGATTATTAAAGATTCTGATGATGTAGCCAGGGAACTGTTCCATAGAACCTTCATTTGCTTCCAAGTAGTGCTGGGCTTCTGCCAACTGCAGAAATGACCCCTCGAAGGCCTGCAGGACACCCTTCATATCTTTACAAAACCTCATCATGCGAGCTGCATTAAGATAAATTCAACCTATACTTTAGATGATAAAATAATTTAATCATTGGTGTGGGACGTAAGTTCATAGGTGGAAAATAAGAACTAATACCAAAAAACATAACAATATATTTACTGAACCTGCTGACAAGAAACTTCTTGGTTCGCTCATTCGTGGCTTCATCAATTTGCTGCAGCCACTGCACAACCTGACTGGCCTTTTGGTGAACGGAGTCAGTGAAGGCCTTCAGGTTCTCTTTGACTTCATTGGGGCCGTTTGCTGCGACAGATCCAACCTTCCCGGGCTCACCTGCTTCAACTCCACAGTTATCAGTGAGGGCCAGATGCTCGAGGGGCTGGCTTGGCATGTCCTGATTGGCAACAGCATACCTTCAGTGTTTTCAAATTTACATTACCATTTTTCAGACAGTTAACAGATCCAAAAACTTACACCTGCAAAGATCGATTTGGAGTCGGAGTCCTCTGGTTTCTTCTCATCAGCACTGAGCCAGCGATCCATCTCGGACCTCTTGACCTTCACCGTGTCCGCCGTTTGTACGAAGTACTCCGTGGTGTTGGCGTCATACTTGAAAGCCCTTCGCTGTCACTGTGTGTTTTTTGTCAAGGATATCTTTTAAACAAAATCATTTGAATAAAAAGTAAACGATTCTTTGAGCCCACCAGTCCTTGTCAGCACGCTTGGAAAGCGCAAACAGTAAGTTTTCACCTTCCCAATCAAAGCCCTTAGCAAGCATTGACAACTGGACTTCTTTGAAAGATTGCGGCTATATCCCCCAAATCTTTTGTAGGGGCTTGCAAGGTACAACAAAAAATATGTGAGTGACAAACCAGACACGAGGAATAGGATAAGTCTTTGGACATCCTCTCTTCCGTATACCATCCTCCTTCGATCTCTTCCTCCTTTGCCCTCTGCTGCTCTTTGATGAAGACAACTTGCTTTTGGAATTCGGCCTGCAGGGTGGTGGATGGGGTACTTAATTTAATTTACAGTGAAGGGGCTTAAGGGACACATTAATCTAGAAACATTAAATTCAGGGAGGGCTTTAAAACAAAACTTCTGATTTGGCAAAACCTGGCCCGTACTTGCGTTCGTGTGCGGTAAGAGTTGTCAAAGCCGCACATCTTCATGCTCTTGACTAGGGCCAAGGTGAGTTGATCTCGGTTCCCAGACACCCACTGCTCATGGATGGCTGGATCCACTTGGAGCTTACCAGCTGGAGTCTTCTGGCACATCCTCTTGAGTCTCATGCAGACCGCATGAGGAGTCAGCTCCTACAATGGTTCAAAATGAAACCTATAGAAAAAACAACATCCGAAATAATATATTTAAAAACAAACAAGGCACAATAGAGACCACAGTTCGCCTGTCCTCGTGGTTCAGATCCAACTCTTCGGCAATGGCCTCTTCTCCATCTTTCAAAGTGTCAGCAGAATCTTCCGCCACTGTTGCCACCATCAGCCCCGGAGGGGATGCCTTTGGAGGGCAAGGCTTGGGCACAGATGCTTTCGCACCTTCTGCCGGAGGGGATGCCTTGGGCACAGATGCTGGAAAGGGAGGGCAAGCCTTGGTCACAGCTGCTTTGGGGGGTGGGGGTGGTGGCATGGCAGACTGCTTCGGCATGTTGGCATCGACTTCGCCGCTGGGCGATGCCGATGCGTTGGAAGGAAGAGGGCTTGCCTCCGGGGTGAACAGCTTCTTGGGAGTAGGGGTTTTGAAGGAATCTTCATTTTTCTTACCCTCTAGTGCAGCCAATCGTTCTGCCAATTCCTGGTACTTGTTCTTCCAATCTTGTGCTTCCTCTCGAGCAGATTGATCACAATCATCCAGGCGAAGAGTTTTGGCACGTAAGAGAGCATCTTCACATTCATCATCAGAAATTTCGATCGACATGTAGTCAGAGGTCGCCTGCACGAGCGGCTAATTTATTTATAGCATTTTTTACTTGATCAAACCTTAAAATTTAATCGCTTATCACGGATCGATATATTAACGTATAATTAAAAGCAGGTCAATGATTATAACTATAGTTTCAAAATTGATTCGAGCTAACCTGAAATTAACCCTGTCCTCATCCAGAGATGGTTCTACCTTTGCAGCCAGCAGTGCGCCAGGAGCCAGGGCATCGCTACGAGCAGGAGTGGGCACTGGTGCAGAAGCTGGCAGGTTCTCCGAAGTCTCAGCCTGCAAGCAGTGGCGATGACATAGAGGGATTCAAGCTTTAGTAAATATCAACGGTGCTACCCTTATAGATTTATTGATATATATCGACATTATTATTTTGGGATTCCCTATAGATTTTATTTTAATGATTTTTTGGGACTCCTAGAATTAAAACCTATCGTGAAACGATCTTTGGATATGCATAAGTTAAACATCAATGAAATAAAATGTATTTTGCGAACCGCTGGAGGTAAAATTTCATTATAAATAAATCAGAACACAATCTAAAAAAAATCTAAAAATACCTTGGCCTGACGGGGAGGGCATAATCGATCCATGAGCATTTGTTCTTGCTCCTCATGCTTCACATGCAGCCATCTTTCCTGAATGGTTTTTTGCGCAATAGGAATAATTATTCTAGGGTCAGAAGGTTGCAGTAATTCTATCCGAACCAATATGCTTGGTAAAAAAAAACTTACAACTGCAAAAGTACAGGCGAGCATCAACAGAGTCCATGTGTGGCTGTAGCTCATGATTGTCGATCATACCATCCGTCTCCTGACATATAATTCAAGTTGCTGTTGGATAAGAGTGCAACATTAGTTACAAAGACAAAGATTGACTTAGATTGATTATTAATGTTTATTTTAAATTAATTAGGGAACATCCGAATTAAGTTGATTGTGATAGATTAAAACATAACTCGATCTGAATTAACTTGATTATTTTTGATTGTTTTGCTAACAACATATCATATTAGACATAAGAGCATGGAATAATATCAATAAATTTACTAACCAGCCCTGTTCTATAATATATCGTCCTGCAGAAGCTTCTCCAGCTCCTCAATGCCAAGGCAAGAGGTTTCGCTCAGCAGCTTATGCTTCTCCTCCACAACCATGTGGTCTAAACTTGGTGCCGGCATGGAGTCAACCACTTGCGTGGCCCCTCGGATAAGCTCGGAACAACTCCAAGCACGGCTCTGGAGCCTTGCTTTCATCACAGCCTAACCCTACAAGCCAAAATCCTGTGGAAAACAGACATTAGCACCTTCAGGGCATGTTGCAACCTAGCAGTCTTGAAACATATTGATTATTTGAGAAAAGTGGCTGCCACAATCAGCATTCCTATCAAAAGTGCCTAATATTGATGGCTTGGAAGCAACATTTATAACTATGGTGCATTCAGCCTTCAAGTTTGATGAAATCCGTGCAAATTAAACGACTTTATTGCATATTTGAGACACTATGGTGAATCTAAAAACCTGCAATTTCTCCGGCCTTTCTTGCAATTTTTTCTCGCAACACCTCCGGGTTTTCTCGCAACTTCTCCGCATATTCTCGCAACTTCTCCGGGTGTCAATTTCGCGGGAATTTCTCCGGTTGTATTTTGAATTTCTCCGGTTGTATTTTGAATTTCTCCGGTTGTATTTAGAGTTGTTACTTTTTTAGCCAGTTTCTATACTAACCCAGAAAAGTTTAAATTTCTGTTGGAAACACTTGCTTCCAGTACTCTGGCAATCTAAGGTGAATAGATCCCCTCAAATATCGAATTACATCTTCTAAATTGGCCCCAGACCAATTGTCTTCCGTAGGAAGAGCTTTGAACATATCTACCGCGACCTGCTCAGTAGATGTTGCAAGTGGAGGAAGCCCAGTAGCGCCCGCACAAATCTTGGGCAGAAAGCGAAGGATCCGAAGTCCAAAGGCTATAGGATAGGACCTCATCTTTACAGGCATTTAATTTATTCAGTGAACCCAGGCATGAAAGTTGCAAATAATTTAATCTTAACCAACTAAGTTCCCTACTGTGTGCTTTTCAAAGCTCCCTTGATGCCCTGAAATTGTACTTTTCCATTTTTCCTCACCTTCTTTGTAGTCTTCAGTGGGCACTTAGGCCTGGCAGCCTTTCGCAAGTGGCCCCGGTCCAACACATGGATCTCAGCAGTGTTGCTCCAGGCGCGGTGCCTTTTCCTGTAACTGACAATGTTCTATATTCGAGTATGTTTCAAAGTTTCAATCCAGTAATTTAAAATACCTGTTGGGAAAAAGTCAGAAAAATAAATGACTTAATTAAAATTAAGCTAAGTATCGGTGAAAGGGCTCCATAGTGCCTGCTCCACCATCCAACTCGGAAAACTTTCATCCAAGCACTTGCCAAAAAGCGTTCCCACCTGGGATACCACACTAATCGGCTGCTGGCTGGCTGCTCCACGAGCCATGTTGCACCCAGGCATGTGCTCAGGATGCATAGAAGTATAGCCCTTGATAGGAGGGAGTTGCCATCCTGGAATGTGCAGTGATGAGGGCCCACTTAAAATATGTGTTCCAACCATACATATATTGTTTTCAAACATGCATGTTAACCCATACATTGATTTCAGCAAGCCATGTCCCGGACATACTGCAAGCACATCCGTCCAAACGGGGTCGTCGGGCTGCGGCCACTTGTAGCCACATTTATTGCCGAAAACGAAGTACACACCACAGCCAGTAAAACGAAGAAGCCCGAAGGATCGCCGTTGAGAAGGACCCACACAGCCAACCTGCAACAAAATCATCATGGGCAAACATACACAAAGAAACAGTAAGAAACCAAAAAAAATAACATATACCTGCTGCTACGAACCCAGAAACGCTAAGCCAGAAGGCTGCAGCAAGTCGAAGCTATTCTGCTTGTGAACTCTGGCAGTTTGTTTCCCATATTCCACATCAAGTTGTGCACAAGCAACCATTCCATATTTTGCGGTCTTTCCAACATTTCCATCACCAGCGAAGAACTCCACAACTCGATATGCCTGCATGGGGCCCGGGAATATGATGTTCAATTATTCTGAATTTAATTCTTTTTTTATTTGATAAATTACTGTATTGAACACATTTGAACACCACCTGCCTGTGGAACCTGTGGCATAGAGCCATGATAGAAGACCAGGATGGTCAGCATGACGAAATGTTTTGGAGCCTTCATTTTCATCATGCGAATGACCAAAGAGTTCAGGTCTTGCTCCGAAGGCACAGCATGGTGGCGAGGCATGATTCTATCAAGGCTTAAGGCTTAATTTGCGGCTTCAATCCCTTAATGTAATAATCGCTTTCAATGTTCATTTGAGCCTGTGCTGCAGGAGTCCACAGCTTATATAGGTGCCATCAATGTGTTGACATTAATTTAAACTAAGCCAAGCTAGTGCCCAACTCCCAAATAAACATACCAGGTTGACCAGCTGCATGCCGCAAAGGTTGCCGCTGCAATGGATCAACTCGCAACTCTGCCGCTGCAGCTCCAGCCCGGCAGCGCGCCGATCGCTTCACCATGCCTGCTGGCCGAGGCCGGGGAGGATTCCAATTCCCATGTAATATTATTATGAATCTGTCCACAAGGGAATGGCTAAGCACACCTTTTTTGGTCCATGGGGCAGCCCGTGTCGAAGAGTTGAGATTCTATAGCGTGCCTGTGGCATCAAAAATTCTTCAGCCAAATTGTTCATCCTCAAATGTTATAATATGTTTTATTAATATAAGATAATAACTTCTATGACTTGGGTTGAAGGCAATCATTTCCTACTTTTGTGGCTTGACCTTGCTCTGCTACGGTGGCCGCGTCCCCGGTCACGGTCACGGTCACGATCACGATCATGACGCCTGCGACGTCTTTCTTCATGTGTTCGCATGTTCCCTTCAGGCTCAGGTTCCCCAGAAATTGCCGACGGTGCCCTGGTCGAAGAAGCACCAGATGTCCCACCAACTGCAGGGGTTGATCATACAACGATATGTTGATTTATTGTATGTCTCTGTACGATCTAGTATGTTGCAATTGATAACATCATACTGAAGTTTAGAAAAATAAACAAAATCATTGTACAAAAATGAAAAATAGGCCTGGGGGCAACTCCATGCCCAGCTGCTGCATGTACTGCATGAACATCATGGCCCCTTGGGCCTCTGGGGATCCTGGCACCATCCTGCTCACCAGCTCACGTAGGTCACTGGCACTGACTGTATGTGATGGTGATTTGGGGGTCTCCTCATGTGCATGGGAAGAGTCCCTAGTAGGTTCCCTAGGCTCAGGAGGCACTTCTGCAGGGGAAGGTGCTTCTCGATCAAAAGCAGATCCAAGCCCAGTATCCGCATCTACCACCGCGTCAGGCCGAGAATGTGGAGGTGGATGCAGTGGGCTCTTCGGGCGCTTTTCGCTGCTGTCATTGCTGCGGCCTGGGAGGGAGATTAATTAAGATCTTGATTTAATGTAAATTAATTGATAGGAGATTCTACTGGGGATGTGGCTGGTTAATTTATTACAGGTAATTGGAACTTTAATAGACTGTGGTAATTGTTCATTTGGGGGCGGTAATTTAATTGAAATTATAATTGAAGGTGAAACTTTTGTCAGGGTAACTAAGGTGTCACTTTAAATTGAGTAAATTGATCTTTAAAGTTAATTTTCAACGAGTTGCCACCTGCAGCTGCTGTGGCTACGGGAGCTGCTGTGGCTGCGGGAGCAGCCGGCTTCGCAACTGCACCCAGCGATGAAGATCCTGCCCGGGGACCTGTGGGATTTCCAGATTTGGGTGCCGTTGCAGTCGTAGTTGTAGCTGGCGATTCCTCGATCACAACCTCTTCTTCATCGTCCTGCTATGTCAAATGCATTTGAAACAAATTGAACGATTCCAAACAATATCCCATGATCCCTGTAAATTTGAAGCATTGTATTAAAATACATTTTTTCAATTTATTGTCCTCGGCAGCAGCGGGGTTTAAAGATTGGGGGAGCCACACCAGGGCATGCAACCATTGCCCCTGCCCTTGCTGATGCAGCGTGTTCGGTGGTGAGGTCGGCATCAGCTTTGGGCGCGGAGGCACCATGGACGGAGCTGAAAAAGGAATGGGAACCGGTCGTCGTCCTCTATCCTTTCCATCCTTCCCACCTTTCCAGTAGCCTTTCTTCCCACCATGTTGCCATGCTCCTTTCCTTAGTTTTTATGCGGCAAAGAAATTCTACATAAAACATGTCAGCATAACTTTAGCAACTATAACCAAAATACAAATATTCTGAACGTTGATGAAATAAGTATCCCATCATGGTAGTAGCCTGCACTTGGCCCTTTGCCATAGTGGTGTCCTTTGGAGTCATCACCATATTCGCCATCGCTCCAGTGCCCATCACCATCACCATTGGGCATACTGAGTTTTCAGAACGATTACGCTCTTCAAGTGCTTCAGCCCAAATGCTGCACACGTGAAAGGTCTTTTGATTAACTATGCTGATGAATTGCTATCAGATTTACTTACATTTCCCATCCCAATAATTATAAGCAGGGTTACTGCCCCAAAATCTGAAACACAAACTGAACCTAATGCCCAGCCTGAAGCCTGTCCACCATGCAAGGCGCATTGCTTTGCCCCAGCGAATCAGCAAGCGCCACAGCCATCAGTGAAGAGCAGGCACCTGGCCAGGGTTGAATTCTTTTGCAGTGGCAGCGGGCAGTCACATGTTGTTTTTCCAAAAGCGCACTCGAGGTATTAGGCTCTGGCAGCTAAACTACACCTAGATCCATCGATGCCGGCTAACAACTCAATAATTTATAGCAGATATAATTTAATATAATTTAACTTGAGAGTCAACGGTTAACAACTTAAATCTAAATTAATTGATTGCTGCAGCTTATCTTTTAATTTTTAAATCAGTTTAAGAATTATTGAAAGCCAGCATTTGAACCAAGGACCCCTATGTGCAATCTAAGCTACATCTCCCCACAGAGCTTTGATCAAAAGATTTAAAGTTTCAGGTGACACCCTAAGATTACTCGATGTTTATAGGCTGGAACACTCAGAAGGTGTTGTCCAACAGCATGAGCTCATCCACCTTTGTTGAACTTCTCCTCAAAGATCTTCTGGGCTGCGCCTCCGGACACGATCAACTGGCGAAAGTGATGCATAGCATCCTCCCTGTCCCACCATGCTTCCACCTTGTTGGCAGCCATCTCGAAGAACTTCTCGCACATCGAGTTGCACATGTAGATGTGAACTGCCACGGTTGAATGCAAATAGCTAAAGTAAAATTTCTGGCTCTCCTTTTCTCCTTCCTGGATCTTCACTCCTCCAGCTGGGCGGCCAAAGTAGATGCTCACCCACACAGGTGATTTGCCCTTGGTGTAGACCTTGTGGTAGGTCTCATTGTCCTTGTCGTAGGGGACATCCTTGTATTTGATCATCAGATCCACCATGTCCTTCACCATCTTGGGGTCAGTCGCAGGCGAAGCTTCCTTTCTTCGCGGCCTAGGGGGTCTCTTGGCATCGGCCTTCGCCTTCGCCTTCACCTTCGCCTTTGGCTTCTGGTCTATCTTGGAACTATTTCTTTTCTTGTTTGCATTTTCCTCATTGGGCTCAACCTCATCATCATGCTCAGCATCATCCATTGCTTCTTCTCCTGGGTTCTCCTCTGCCGTAGCCTGTGCAGCCTTACTTTTCCTTTGCTTTTTGGGCACAGGCTCACCTGGTATCTTTCGAGGACGCCCCTTTGCCTTTGGTATCTTTTCTGCCTTTTCTGCTTTCTTCGCTTTCTGTTGTTCTCTTTCCTCCTCCTGCTTTTCCTTCTCGCTTGCCCTCATCTGCAGCTGGGCTCTGCGAAGATCTTCATCAGCAGGGCCGGCAGCAGCACGAGTCTGGAGATCTGCATTCACTTGGGCGAGCAAATCCATCGACTTGGAGAGCCCATCATCAGGTTTGTTCACTTCATTAGGTTTGTTCACTTCATTTCCCTTACTGGTATCAGCAGGGATACTCTCAGCCTCCTCCTCCTCCTCCTCCGCATCGCGCTGTGTGTCTGCGATGGGCTCTTCTTCCATCGTATCGTTGGGCTTTTCCTTCGTCTCCATTTTGGGCTGTTCGTTCTTCATCTCCATGCTGGGCGTCTTTTCCTTTGTCTCAATGTAGGCAACTTTTTGGTCCTCCAGGGCAGCTATAATTCCAACCATTCGAAACCCTCAACCACAATTTTGGTAAATATGAAGCATTTAGTTTAAATTAAGCCAGTGAAGAAATAAAAATACATACCCCTATTAATCCGGCCTCCACTTGGAACAGTGCATCTAACTCCATGGGCAAAGTTGTGCCCACATCGACTGCAGATCCTAGGTGTGAGTAAGGGTCCCTAGCACATCAAGAACTATAATAGAATATAATTAGCCGGCTTGGAGTGAAAACGGGTTTTAAAAAAAAACGAAGACCTAGGCTCCAAGTTCTTCTTTGTGACCCTCTTGTGCAAGTGCATTAGCCAGGGCTTCAGCTTCTCTTTGCTTTCTCTCTTCTTCCTTACGGATCTGCAGCCTGAGATGTTTCAAATTAAGAAACTTACGAAATGTACACATGTTCAACAACTAAATCAACAAGTAAACCGCATGCTTTCAATCCAAGAGACACTTCTGCCAGGTGCTGCCTGCGAACTGCAAGAGCAATGAGGCTCGCCTGCGAAGCTGGGATGCCACGCGGAGGGTCTGGCTGTGGGCGCTTTGGAGGTGATGGAGGAGCCTCCTTTGGAGCGACCTTTGGAGCCATCTTCGGAGCTGCCTTCGCTGCGGTGCACTTGGGCGTTGGGTCCTTGCAAGGATAAGGGTTTAATAAATTAATGATAAATAATATAATTTATAGTTTTAATTTAAATAATTAACATGTTGAACTGGCTTGACTTTAAACACTTACATTAAATGAAATCCAAATCATTAATTGTTCAAGCTGCCTTAGCTTCATTTAAATTAACATTGAGCTTTATTTTTATCCTAGGCTTGACTTAAATGCAAATTAACTACACCTTAAAGTCTTAAAGAAGTAAAATCCCTCACTTGCGAATTGCACAGTTTAGTTGAAGCTTCCACTTTAAAGGTCCTTAGGTTATGCCACAGTTAACTTATTGAGGTTTGCATGAAACATGGGGTCCTTTCGGACTTACACACATATCAAGCCTAAAACCCTGTCCTTGGAAGAAGCACTGCTTGCACTGGGCGATGGTGCAGGTGCAGGACCAACTTCACCCGGGGAAGAAGCTGGTGATGCACCAGAGGCCTTGCACTGCTTCCAATCTTTCAGATCCACACCCCAAGCCGAGAGCAGGTCTCGAAAGACAGGGTCCTGGTCCCAATGCCGCCTGCAATGTTCATTTAAATTGATTCCCACCAAAAAAACAAAAAATAAGAAAATAGACTTTTGAATTCAAGTTTCGCGAGGAGGCGTTGGCTTATAAGTGAGCTGCTTCACCAAACCGTACATGTAGCGCACATTCCAAGCCTCATCTGACAGCTTCGTAGAATCTGGGTTCAGGCGACAGTTTTGGAAGCAAGATTGCAGCTCTTTCGCCAATGTCTCCTTGCAAGGGGTCTTGTCCCTGTGATCTTTCATCATCACCAGCAAAGGTCTCACAATTTCGGCATTGAATCTGAGATTGGCGTGCGTCTTCGCTATGCTCCCAGTGGTCGCCTCCTCCTTCCCACCTGGCAACGGTTTCTCCATCATCACCATCTGGAAATCAGCCAGTCGGTCCCTGACTGTCTTCATTCCCTCCCAGGTAGAACCAAGCCCCTGGAAATTTCCATAGACAGAAGCGAAACCAGGGCTAGTAGCTTCTGAAGACGACATGGCAGCCTATATCCAACCTAATGGAAAATTGAGCTGAACAAATAATGCGATTGGCTATTGAAAATGGATGCTACATGACAGCCATGCACAAATCCCCTTGAAATCAAAGTGTCCTTTTGGTGCCTATTTTCAATTTATTGTGTCTTATCCTTGCGTATCATCAGCTATTGGAATTCTTATTCAAAGTGCCTCAAAGATTTGTTTAAGGAAAACTAAGATCACCAGCAATGATTAGCACAATCAATATATCTTAAAATCGTGCCTCAATTAATTAACATTGTCTCGAATTCACAGCTTGTATTTATCAACTTAGTCAAATCTATTTAGATTATTGCGTTCAATTAGTGTTAAGTTCAAAGCCTGAATCTATCAATTTGAACTTGATTTAAGTTATTGACTTAACTTATTTAGTTTAATTATAATTATAAATTATAACTATAATTAATTATATTTAATTAGCTGTCATTATCTTAAGTTCAAAGCCTCCTATCTATCAATTTGCATTTGATCTTAATTGTTAATTCAACTTAATTAAACCTGATTACCTTAATTAACTGCCATTATCTTAAGTTCAAAGCCTGAATCTATCAGTTTGAATTTGATTTTAATTATTAATTAAACCTGATTACCTCAATTAACTGCCATTATCTTAAGTTCAAAGCCTGAATCTATCAACTTGAATTTGAATTTAATTATTAATTAAACCTGATTACCTTCATTAACTGCCATTATCTTAAGTTCAAAGCCTAAATCTATCAACTTGAAATTAATTAGCATTATTTTCACTTAAATTACCTTAAGTCCCATTGAATTAAATTGAAGGTGTTAAGATAAGCCACCCCGTTCCCACCAAAACATGCCGGGCTGACATAACCAGCGTAGATAATGTCAAGTTTGGCCACAAAAATCATCTGAGCCCCAAATGCTGCGGAAAAAACATCACTTTCTAGACATGTCCTAATTCTCGCATCTGTTTCTTGAGTCGTAGGAATTCCTACAACTGTCCAAAAATCGTATTTTTTAAAAAAAAATAAAATTTCCTTACTTCTTGGCTTAGCTGGTATATATAGATAGATAATATATTTTCTCTTTTATCAAAGTACCCAACCCAAAAAAAAACTATTTGAACTACGATCGAATGGTGATCGTTTGTTCTGACTGGCACTTCCACGAACAGAAGGGTAAATCGAGGGAGACACTAATTATCAAACCCCATCTTGGCATGATTACCGAATGGCGGATAAGCATTCGCAATAATATTGAAACATCCAAGGGACACTAACCCAAGACGATCTTTCCTTTGGGATCATTTTCATTAGTATATAGCAAGGCCACCTACCTTGATAGATAAGATAGATAAAGAAATAAATAATGGAAAACATATATCACACAATCAGAGGTAGAACTAAATCACCAAGGACCCTAGAACCAAATTCCAAAGACCCCCTATCGGCTGCATATATTGATATATATATATATATATGTTTTTTTTACAAAATATATTTTATATTTTATCAAAGTACCCAACCCAAAGAAGCCTATCTAAACTACGATCGAATGGTGATCGTTTGTCCTGACTGGCACTTCCACGAATAGAAGGGTAAATGGATGGAGAACACTAATTATCATTCCCCATCTTGGCATGATTACCGAATGGCGGATAAGAATTCACAATATATTGAAACATCCGAGGGACACTAACCCAAGACGATCTTTCCTTTGGGATCATTTTCATTTTTTTTGCAAGGCCACCTACCTTGATAGATAAGATAGATAAAGAAATAAATAATGGAAAGCATATATCACACAATCAGAGGTAGAACTAAATCACCAAGGACCCTAGAATCAAATTCCAAAGACCCCCTATCGGCTGCAAAACCTTTTATCATAGAACTTATTTTCAATTATTTTAAGTTGTTTTTTGATATTTTCAAAGGTTCAGAACTGATAATACGAAGGATTTTTATTTTATACATTTTTGAAAAACACAATTGAATATAAGAAATAAGTAAAAAGTTTTGGGTAGGTTTGCATTTTTTTTAGCATCTATTATCTTTTTCAGGATATTTTCCTATTCAGGAACCATCCTTTTCAGGAACTATATCCTTTGCCTTGGGAGCCATGGCGGAGAAAGAAGCAGCGGTTCAGCACAGACTAGCTGCTAAAGTATGGCCGCGAGTCATACTATAGATTCTCTCATAGCTGCTGGTAATGATTGTGAAGTAAAATATGTTGGAAAATACAATATATATATAACAAAACAACATTTAGAAACTCAAGATGTTGAAACGATAATTCCTGAAAAGGATGTAGTTCCTGAAATGGAAAGTTTCTGCAATGAATCTTTCAGGTTGAATGTAACTTCCTCAGAGGAATATGTTTTCCTTTTTTAAATTCTAAATGTACTGATTTCTGAATTATCTAAACCTTTGAAATGTTGTAATATATTTGGAATTGTAAGTTATCAAAAGTTTCTGGATTCTATTTTTTTTGGGTTTTATTATTTTTTTGGATTCTATTTATTGGATTTTATGAATTTTCTGGATTCTGATTTTTCCAATTTTTCTAGATTCTATGTCTTTTTTGGTTTTCTAAATGTTCTGGCTAGATTTTCTGAATTCTATTTTTTTGGGTGATTTTCTAAAATTTCTGGATTCTATTTTCTTTTGGGTTTTCTAAATTGTTTGGAGTCTATTTTTTTTGATTTCTTCATGTTCTGGATTCTTAATTTTCCAAATTTTCTAGATTCTTTGTTTTTTGATTTTATAATTTTTCTGGGTTGTAACTTTTTTGGATTTTCCGAATTTTCTGGATTTTGTTTTTTAAGAATTTTCTGGATTCTAAATTTTATGGATTCTGAATTTTAAATTTGTCTAGATTCTATTTTTCTTTGGTTTTCTAAATTTTCTGGATTTCTAACTTTTGTGGGTTTTCTAAATTTTATGGGTTTTATTTTTTCTGGTTTTCTAAATTTTCTTAAAAAAATCTGGATTCTATGTTTTTTTTAAAAAAATTTTCTGATTTTTTCTGAATTCTGAGTTTTCTGAATTTTCTGAATTTCTGAATTTTCTGAATTTTCTGAATATTTCAAGTTTTATATATATATATATAATATTTAAAAATCTAAATTTTCTGAATTTTCTGAAGTCTGAATTTTCTGTTTTTTTTTTTCTGGGTTCTGATTTTTCTAATTTTCTGGATTTCTTTTGTTTTTTTGTCTTCTAAATTTTCTGGGTTCTATTTTTTTTGCTTTTATAAATTTTCTGGGTTCTATTTTTCAAAACTTTCGGAATTTTCTGGATTCTGAATTTTCTAAATTTTCTAGATTCAATTTTTTGCGTTTCTAAATTTTCTGGAATCATTTTTTTAGAATTTCTGAATTTTCTGGATTCTGGATTTTCTAATTTTTTCCAGATTCTATTTTTTCTTGGTTTTCTATTTTTTCTGGATTTTTTATTTTCTAAAGTTTCTGGGTTCTATTTTTTTTGCATTTTCTGATTTTTTTGGATTCTATGCTTTTTTGATTTTCTGATTTTTATGGATTCTTTATTTTTGATTTTATAAAGTTTCTGATTTATTTGGTTTTCCTGAATTTTCTGGATTCTGAATCTTCCAAAAATTTCTGGACTATTTTTTTTGAAGTTTATGATTCTTTTTGGATTCTGAATTTTCTTTTTTTTACGCCAAAAACTGCGGTAAAATTGCGATTTCACGGGTGCGGTCTCTGTGCGTAAAAGTGTTTGTGTGTAAAAGCGCCTGTGTGTAAAAGTGTTCGTCTGTGTGTAAAAGTTTCTCTGTGTAAAAGCTTCTGTGTGTAAAAGCGTCTGTGTGTAAAAGCTTCTGTGTGTAACAGTCTCTGCGTGTGAATGTGCTTGGGTAAAAGTGTCTGTGTGTAAAAGCGTCTGTGTGTACAAGTGTCTGCTTGTAAAAGCGTCTTTGTGTAAAACTCTCCGGGTGTGAAGGTGTGTGTGTAAAAGCGTCTGTTTGTAAATGCGTCTATGTGTAAAAGGGTCTGCATGTAGAAGCTTCTGTGTGTAAAAGCCTCTGTGTGTAAAAGTGTCTGTGTGTAAAAGCGTGTGTGTGTGTGGAACAGTCTTTGCGTGTGAAAGTGTTTGTGTAAAAGTGTCTGTGTGTAAAAGTGTCTGTGTGTAAAAGTGTCTGCGTGTAAAAGCGTCTGTGTGTAAAAGTCTCTGGGTGTGATGGTGTTTGTGTAAAAGCGTCTGTCTGTAAAAGCGTCTGTGTGCAAAAGCGTCTGTGTGTAAAAGCGTCTATGTGTAAAAGGGTCTGCATGCAAAAGCGTTTGTGTGTGAAAGCCTCTTTGTGTAAAACGTCTGTGGGTAAAAGCCTCTTTGTGTAAAACGTCTGTGTGTAAAAGCCTCTTTGTGTAAAACGTCTGTGTGTAAAAGTGTCTGTGTGTAAAAGCATCTGTGTGTAACAGTCTCTGCGTGTGAAAGTGTTTGTGTAAAAGTGTGTGTGGGCAAAAGCGTTTGTGTGTAAAAGCGTCTGTGTGTAAAAGTGTCTGTGTGTAAAAGCGTGTGTGTGTGTGTAAAAGCGTCTGTGTGTAAAAGTCTCTGCGTGTGAAAGGGTTTTTGCAAAAACGTCTGTGCGTAAAAGTGTCTGTGTGTAAAAGCGTCTGTGTGTAAAAGAGACTGTGTGCAAAAGTCTCTGCGTGTGAAGGTGTTTGTGTAAAAGCTTCTGTGTGTAAAAGTCTCTGTGTGTAAAAGCGTCTGTGTGTAAAAGTCTCTGCGTGTGAAAGTGTTTGTGTAAAAGTGTGTGTGGGCAAAAGCGTTTGTGTGTAAAAGCGTCTGTGTGTAAAAGTGTCTGTCTGTAAAAGCGTGTGTGTGTGTGAAAGCGTCTGTGTGTAACAGTCTCTGCGTGTGAAAGTGTTTTTGCAAAAACGTCTGTGCGTAAAAGTGTCT